CATAACGTCGGGATGTTGAGAGAACGCGAGTAGGGGTGTGGGTGGCATTGTCGAGAGAAGGTTTGAAAGGAGCTCGCGGAAGTGAAAATTAAAATGAATGTCACAAAGGAACCGGGACGGTTGTTCTTGTTCGGTGGAGTGAGAAAAGTACTTGGTTTCCGAGGGCTGGCCCCTCTTACGCGAGGAGGATCCTCGAGGGGTGCATGTTTGGAAACCTCTGCGATCGCACCTTCATTTCGAACGACAGTGGATCGAGTTTTTAATTAAAAAGATACTGGGAAAGCAAATACGTCCGAGAAATTTGCTATTAATCGAATCAAGTCTATCGGAGATAGGTTGACGAAACCGAGTTAAATAATCGTCGGGATTTAATGGAACAGGCGACGTGGTCGTTTCCAATTAAGAAAAGAAAGCAGACTTGATTTGCAGTGATCGCAAATCTTTCAAAGAGCCGAGTCTGCCGAGCTAATAGCAATTAGTCTTCTTCAGAGTGAATCAACAGACACACACACAGTTAAAAGGCTCGATCTATCTCCCCTAAACATCCAACTATACTCAAGTAATCGAAGAAAGAAACTAATGGCGTCGATCAATTAACCGAATTGATAAATAACGCGGTAGCTGTCGAAGAAACCTTGTGCACGCTTTTAAGCCTTTTCCTTTGTCGATGTTCGACTACCCTCTTTCCTCTTTCTTAACGAAGCCAATGTATAATAATTGGTAACCCGCGATGAGCGAAAATATGAAGTTTCCGAGTGATGAAGGGAATTTAAAGGTTTCCTGAATTTTAATTTCGAGGGAAAGTCGACGAAAATTTAAAAATATTAAGAGAGGCGAACTCTAGGCGATCCGCAGGCATCAGATCGTTCGAAAAATTAATTACGATCGTCAAGTGGACGTGCTCGAGTTAGTACGGGTACTTACAGCTTTGCTAACTACGTACATATAGGATTCAAGAAGAAAAGAAGGAAGAAAGAAGGGGGTATCTGTTGGAAGCATCCTCGTGTCCTCGACGAAGGAAAACAGAAACGATTCAGCCACGTCGGTAGACTACTTAGTTACTCGGCTACGTGACACCAATTAAACCTTAAAATATTGTGCACACGCGGTCACATACGCCTCTAACCCAATTTACGAAGATTTCGTAACCGATAACGTGTCGATTCGAAAGACCCTCTTAATCTTTACTCTTTTCTATGTTAGCTTCATGTTTCCTAATCATGCACGTACCTATTCTCCTTTCCGTTTTTATCTTAAATGTTCGCATGAATCAACATGATACGAAATTATGCACGCAATTTAAATAACCCACGTAATTTATACTAGTTTCCTGCAAGAATTCAATAAAAAGCTGGAAAGCTTTATGCAATGTAATATAAAAGAAAAAAGAAGGAACACCTGAAAGCTCGAATATGTTAATATTAAGTAAAAGTACAGACAAGAGAATGGAAGAAGTGCCTCGAGGAAGCATTCTAGACAGGTTTTAATGGTTCTAAAAGTTTACAAATTCTGACAGAAAGCCAATATAGGCTGCTCCTTCTTATTTCTAAAAGCAAAGATGAGTCGCGAACTCGCGTGTTTCCGGCAAGCCGATTTGAGTAATCAAGTCTTTTATGCACGGCTTTTTGAACAGGGGACCTTCCATTCCATTGTGCGACGTTGTTGGAACGTACCACGATTCCTTCAGGAATTTCGACTGGTCGAGCCGCTTTGATTCGTCTGAGAATGGAAGAGCTCCTTGACGCAATGATCCCTGAACCCGAACGTGATCGCAATAGGAAAATCGAGGGAATGATTCGTATGCGTATAGATGTCTACGGCAATCGACTTCGAATGGGACTCAATTTGTAGCGAATAATGGACTCGACTGTATCCAGAACTAGATCACTCTGACAATAACCGAATACATTTACTTGTAATGCTCCATGATTCGACTATTAGGATATTTAATCTAGGTATATGTATAAAAACTTAAAAATGGAAAAAAAGCAGTTCAGAATGTTTCTAAAAATTTTTATTCGTCGACCGCGGGCGAGTCATGCGGACTAAAATGAGGACGCAATGGTGTCGCGGAACAAGTCACAGGAAAGGAAATTTGGAATTCATAGCCGTCGCCCGTCAACGGACTAAGCAAAGTCCGAAAACCGTGTTTTCCGACTAGGTCGGAGCAGGCAGGAACTAATTTGCAATGGAAATATCTTGGAATCGTCCTATTTACATGCTCCCATCCCCACCTTCGAACGTATAATTCGAAATTGACCTCGGCTGATAAACGAAGAAACTACTTAAGCTCGCGCCTGCTGTGAACAGCCGGAATTTATTGTCTTAAAACTGAAGTACGAATACCTATCAGACAATAGATCGAATCAAGAGAATTTAAGGGTGATTTGTTCCAAATCAGATAAAAGTGCACAGTTGTGTTTACGAGAAGATACATAAAACTAAAAAATGAAAAATGGCTTCGTCTTCGGGTTTTTAATGTACGTGAGCAATTCATACTTGAACCACTTCAATGAATTTCCTGAAGCATACCGAAATGCGGCAACGGTGCATACTTGTTATTCCACGGTTTTCTCCTCGAAAGAAATAATTCTGCAGAATCATCCCACGAATAATACTCCTTTGCATACTGAAACATTTTTTATTTACATTTATACCCCTCGACGTTTCCCCATCCCTCTATTTCCGCTGCATTCGTAACAAATTATCTTGGAAGGAAGAGGAGAAACAATCTGTACCGACCCTGTTTTAAAAACGTAACTCAATCTCTCACAATTGTAGAGAAGGAACTTGGATTAACTTCCCTGCTACCGATCAAACGCAGACGTCCGATACTTATACCCACGAGCTATATAAATCTATACCTGTTATCTGCAGTTACGTGTGTAGGTACGTACCCTTTCGACTCGCAGCTGTAGCCACCGCCGAATCGACAGGATATCTGATATCCCGAGGAAGGCCGGATAATCGTTGTCGGATATGCGACAAAAGTTATGAAAAATGTTCATCGACAGATCTGTCGAACGGCAGAAAATCGGATAATAATCCATTGTCGAACGCATTGCAATGGCAAAGATTCAGGTATCTACCAATGCTTAATTCGCTCGCTCCGATCGATCCCTCCATTTATTTTCGTCCCGTGCTCGGTTTAGTCCGCCTTCATAATATTTTATTCATCCTCGATACATCGATACTTTTTTCGTCTAGTAAGGCAGTTTTAAGAGTCGCAGAATCCGCTTAGAAAATTCGTTGAAACCAAAATTCGCTAGCGGCGATAGATCGATCGAGCGTACCAGATCGAGAGGAACGGGATACGTGGCCAAGCGGCGTGTGAGAAACGGGGGCGTGAAAACGGGTGGCATCAGCGGTGCGGCTGGCTAATAATAAAAGCGAAGAAATATTTCCTGTAGGTACTGGAAACCACCGCTGACACGGCGCGGTACGACGGAGAGGAGAACGACGGCCTGAGGAATAGCGATGAGGGACAGCGATAAAAGCGATACGGATGGAACGTTGGGAAAATTGATGGAAACAAAAGGCTGCTGGGAAAGGTTTTCAAGGTACCTGCCTACGGTCCGCAATACACGCGTACGTGTATGTGCCTGTGTGTGTGTGTATGTAGCTATGGTATGCAGAGTCTTTGTAATGGAATTTTGATTGTTTTAGTTGGAAGATAGGGTGCTGTACAGATCGGTTGAAAAATAGCAGGAGAGTAGAAATACTGTTGGATACTAATGACGTATTCACCCTTCGAATGTCACGTCCATATAGATAATACGTTCTTGTATATCGTATATGATGATAGATCGGCGTAAATGGAGCAAATGGAAAAATTTCGTTGTCCATTGAATGTGGATAATAAAAATTACAAGAGCATGAGTAGCGAGGTAAGTGGAATATAAAAATGTAAGCGGGAAACAAGTGGAGGTTACACAGGGGCGATACGTGATGAACACGTAAAACGTGAAGAAGAGAAGGAAAACGAAGGGTTGGCGAAGAGGGCAGCGGCGGGACGAAGGGATGCTGGCCACTTGACTTTGGGCCGCGATTGCCGCGAGTAACTCGTGGCCAGGCGGCCAGGCGAAAGTGGCCTAGACGAGCACAAAGAACGGAAATGACGGTGGAAATCTCGCTTTGAAAATAGTGGATAGAGCGAGATCCAACGAGATCCAGTTGTTTTCCGAGGATTGAAACTGGCCCGATATTTAGGAAATTAAGCGCCGAGTCGGGCGGAAACGGTGCTCGCTCGGAAGCACGTGATCTCGCTACCGTACCAACTGACGTTTTTTTTTATTCACTGAAGAAATCGTGCAATGAACTAGGATTTCCTACCGTACCTTTTTGCGCTCTCACGGATTACACGTGTACAAAGTGTAACCACATCCTTTTTATCAAACACTTGTAGACTAACAGTTCTGCTTTTTCGACCACTTGATGTACGAAAATATTGCTTCCACCTCGTATACATTTTTTATACGAGGCATATCGATTTTATCAAGCAGCATGATGCAATTTTTTATACACGTCAAACGCCTTTGATCAAAGAGAAATTCATTGGAGAACGAGATTTTTCAGCGCGAGGGTAGAAAAAGAGGAATAGTTAAAATCCCATGATCCAATCAATGTGGAATCGTTCGAAAGACCTTAAAAGGGAATTCCTTCTGTACGAAAGAACGGCGATGATACCATTTTTTTAATTTCGTGTGATAGAAACCGACTTATGAAGGGACGAGGGAAAGAAAGGCTGACTGAGCAGTTTGGACGGAAGTCTAGAGGCATCCGCTGTGAGGAACCCGGAGAAGCTCGAAAACGGTATGTATTTCTCGCGGGAACCTCTGCCATCTCGCGCTACGAGCTACGAGCGGTGGCACTACGATACGATACGAAACGCGACGGAACGTGCCGCTCCGTTTAGGATTAGCTACGGGAAACAAGAACCAGCTTCCTGTCCTTGAATCAGCGCGCGGCTCGAAATGGGTTTCGACGATTTCGGGACTCACGTTTCTTCTCATCTCGCGTTAGATCCGTGCTCACGTGCAGCCATCCGATTGTCGCACGGTCGTTGCACCGTCGAGCCTCCTCGTTGCTGCAGCAGTGTTGAGAGCAACGACGACGACGATGACGCGAACCGTGAGAACGCTGATGAGGTCGAGGGCGTAAAAGACGTCGGCGATGATCGACCGCGGCGATGTCGATGCGGAACGTACGGGTACGGGCAAGGGTACAGGTACGGCACACGTAACAACGACGACGACGATACGGGATAGCGAGCACTCGGTGCGATCGCGAAACACGCGCGAGCGACAAGCATCGCCCCAGCTCGACACCAAGCTCACGACTGCCTCACGACCGAGGGCTTTAGCTGGGGGTTGCTTCGACTCCGGTTCACCGGTTCAATCGGTGGCTAGGGATGACCTCGGAGAGGCCGGGGGTGCAACCGTTACCCGAAACACTACTGCCGTCTACTGGCTACCGAGGGAATATCGCGTCGTTACGAGCAGATTATAGGACATAGGGGTAGCAGGGCGCAAGCTCGACGCTACCAAGACAGTCGAGAGGGTGGCGCAAGGCTTCGGCGCGGCGCGCGAATTTCAGGGGTAGTCGTAAAGTTTCGACTCCCGAGTACTTTTTATCTATTTATTGCGTACGAACGAAGGACTTTAGCGATTTGTTTGAGAACCGATCATGGGAGGAAAATGACATAGTTTCTAATCTCTCAGTATTGTAAAGAAAGAAGCTATTTTCTTATTTAAAGCGTTTAAAACTGTTTGTTGTGAGATTTTGAAATGTTGACAGAGAAATCAAAGTTTTCTCTAGTACACAGTCACGATTAAAACAGCGACGCAGTAGAAACTGACGATGAAGGTCAGACACGCGATACCTGCGTTAGCTCTCTAAATTCTAAACTCTAAATTAAAACTATGACGCGTGGCAAATAACACGTGGAGAGAGTATCTAAATAATGTTTTCATTAAACTAAATGCCTTCAATGCAAAATTTCGTTTGTTGTATTTTCTTCTGGATAAATAAAATATAATCGCGATAACGTCTTAATGAACAAATTTTCCGAAGTAATTATTATAAGAAAAACGGCTCTAACGCACTAAGTTTCCTATTTGCGATCACATTAACCAGCACTTCGGCAAAGTACGTCTTGATTCAAATTCAAATTTAATCAGGCTACTATGCACCACTTACGGCGAAAAGCAAAGTTCCAAGTGATGTTCTCGGGTAATTGCATTAACCCCAGTAACGGTACACACGGCGAGTATTAAGGTCCCGATAATTAAAATTAATTAAACCAGCCTCGGTGCGCATATACGTACAAAATTTCTACTGTTTTGACACGAGCGTGACATTGACTCAATTTCGCGGAAGAATCTAATATCGTATGCACACGCGTGTAACATAGCGCGAAGAAACTTGCCCCTATCTTCAACGGCATCGATCGCGACCATGACGGAGGAAGGGGATTGCCGTTCCGACCTTCTCCTTTGGCTGAACGATCACAGCTTGTCGAAACTGTTAGCGGTTGGTCCCACCCCCTCGTAATGCATGTTTCCTTTCGTAAACGTGAAACGGTGAACACACCTACCTCGTACCTTGTGCTCTGGGGTAGTTGCACCTGGGGTGTCGCTGGAGAGCTCAACAGGTTCGCGTGCCGGATACGCTGGCGTACCGGAAGTCATCAGCGAGGCTGCACGGCGTGGTTTTCCACGCGCGGTCTCGATCTGGTAATGGTTGCGATCTGATCGTCCTCACTCTCTTCAGATAGGCGGTGCTCGTAAAAGTTAGTTCTCGATGCGTTCTCGATAAGTAATGATGGGCAGTAACGGAGATGGGATTTCAGGGGACCTTGATGGATAAGAAAATATACGTTAAAGCGAAATGGTCGATTGATCGTGCAGAAAATTGAAAATGAATAATCGCAGAATACGAAAGAAATTTGGAGTTGATAATGAAACGATTGGCGAGTCTGGGAAAAAATGTGTAAAGTGGAGAATAAATTGGAGTTTTTAAAGATGGTAGGTATTAATCGTCCGATAAAAGACCAAGTAAAATTGTGGGCCATCTATTCTCACTTTTATCGACTCGCATTACACGTAACTTGTACGAACTTCGACGCGTACACGAACACATATAATTAAATAGTTACAGTTCCTGGAAAATCGGGGTCGATAAGAGGTAAGTACAAAATTGCTTAAGCTAAACGATGCGTTCAAGCATCAGGATTCAAACACGTCGACGCGACAAATATTTACGAACGGCCTCGACGTGTCTGGATCCTTAAATTATTTTTTTCTTTTTTTTATTCTGTGCTCTTTATCCTTTGTCCTATTTAAGAAATGCATGCAGGTCTTTGTAAAAATATATCAACGTACGTTCACACACAAATTCTAATTGCAAGATGAACCTACTCTCGATATTGAAGTACCGTGTAATATTAGGTATATTAATTCTTCTTTAAAGTATGCTGGATTTCGAAAGTTTTTTTTTAAGTTCAAAGCCAAAACGTGAGATTCCAATATGTATCACAGAATTTTTAATTTTCCTCATCCGCGCACCATTTTCACGAGATGCATAGCTAGAAAAAACGAATCACGGAATGGACGAATAGTTGCCAGAACAAGTTTCTCAACCTCGACTATTATTATTTTTTCTTCCATTTCTTTTTCAATTAGAAAAAATTAATTGACAATCGTTTCATTTAGGTCCACTTTGATTCTCGCGGCCGATCGAACGAAGCCACACTACGAAAACTAAACTTATGTACAAAATCACAATGATCCCTGCGAATAATACACTTAACGCGTCGCATGTGTATGGTTGCGTATAATCTCTTGGAATCCGCAAGGAATTGTATAAATTACGATAATTATATGCACACACAAGATGCACGAACACGCACGCATACATACACACGAATCCTAAATTTTTCACGCACCTTGCAAGCTACCTTTCAATCGCGATTCGTTTTTGTTCGATTCACGTGTGCGCCCAATCCTAAACATTATCTATCAAACTATGTACAATTAGCCCGTGAACCACGCCATTTACGCTAGCGTCGTATGTCCGAGTACGTCCGTGAGAATAACGTCATGTTAACGCGAGTGTACGATGAGTGAAAAAAATACATAGATGAAAACACGATCGTACTGCATCTTGAATTCAACGCCATTCGAAATTATATCGCTAGAGAAAAAAAATACTTCGCGACATAACGAACATTGGTAATTATATGCAAAAGGAAAATAAATTCAAACCTAATGAGATTCTTCAGTTTCGCAGCCGAGCATTGATTTATCTTGCAAAATTTCGCACATCAACATAACGACAGCTGATCCTGGCGTAACGCGATAAATTACTGGAAAGGATCGCTCAAGTCTAATCCTCTTAACGGTGAACACTACCGCTTGTGGCTCGACTTGCTCTTAGGACTTTCCGTGGCGCTATCGTTAGGGTCTTTTCTGGGTCTTAGAATAAAATTTAAATTATGCGCAGTGTTGACGGCGTAGTAAACGTTCGCCGAGTTTGGCAATACCATCTCACGATCCGGTAGTACTTGAGCCAACGTGTACTGATCAGGACTGCCTTCAATTCCGAGTTTGAGCATCGCGTTACGTATCACTTGAGGCGTCCTTTCATTGTTCGAGAGCATAATAGACTTGTACAGCACCACACCTTCGGTCTCCACTTTGTCGGTCTCCATCGTGACCTTGATTATATAAAAATCGGGTGAACTCTTGTGCGAGTGGCTCGGGCTAGACAGACCGACGAGACTCGGGCCGTTCCCGTTACTGATCGCGGCGGTGTTCACCGGCGCAGGCGGCGCTAGACGATTGTGCTGATTGCCCGTCGCCCCGCTCCCACCACCGGAACTGAGGGACACGTCCAATGATGGCAAAGACGAGCTAGAGGAAGAGCTGGACATCTGGGACGGTGAAGTGCGCCGATCGAGAGAGTTGTGCGGCGAGCTCGGTAGCGAATCCAGGTCGCAGTAAAATTGGGAGCTGCTCGAACTCGACGTGGACGCTATTGAGTCGTTTTTGCGGTGACCCTGATGACACTGCAAGACAAGTCCGGTAACGGGCGAACGAGATCGGGATCGAGATTGAGATCGTATTATCGAGATCAGGGAGAGCATGCTGACCTGCTTCTTCTTCCCGCGCGTGTTCAAAGTGTTACCCGGCGGCGGCGGCTCGATTTGGCAGCTGAGCTTATACGCCTCGCGATCGTCCAACACTACCACGGAATGAAACCAACGATCGAACAACGGATCCGTGTTAAAGTTGTACGCGTTCGCGGCACCCTGCAACAACCTTATCCTGGCGAGAACCTCGAACTCTTTTCGACGTTTATCGAAGTTGATCAGACCCTCGGCTATGGTGTCCGGTATCGCGGTGTCTATCATGGTGAGATCCGTTAAGAAGGTTCCCAGATAAGGTATCGTGCCGTAACTAATATTCTGGATAGAACGGAACACAAAATTAATTAAATTACAATAATATATAATCGTAAAAACAAAACAAAGAAGTATGATATTACTTACTCCCGCATGAGTATTCTGTTTCTGGAACAACTTCTGTAAATGCCTGTCGCTCCTACCAGCGGTGTCCGCAAACTTGGCCGTGCCCTCTTTAATTAAAAGCTCTCGCTGCGTCCACGCGTTGTTCTCCTCCGAGAAGATCCTCTCCAGTTCCCTGAACAATTCGTGCTTCTCCCTCGGCATACACTGCCAACACTTTTCCAGCCTGTAAACCGGGTTGCTCTGAAGACCGGACACGATGGCCTTCAAACTGCTGAAGTTCTTCAGCACTCGCAGTTCTTGAGCAATATCGATCCACGTCTCGAGGATTCTCGCGCGTTCTTGTGATTTCAACGCCGTATCCTTAAGTATTGTCGATATCACACGAAGCGACACGGCATTGAACTGGTTCACGGTGGCCAATACGGTAGCAGCGTCGTGACTCCTCGAACGATCCCGTCTCGACCAGACAGCACCTAGACATTGATGGGCCACCAACTTCTTGAACACTTCGGCGTCCATGCGGGTCAACTGCTCGGCGAAGTGCCGGTGCGGAACCTCGGGGAAACTATAGTTCGCCCAGTGATCCGCGATCGGATCCGGAGAACCACGTGGTAATCGACCATTGTCGTATACCATACAGGAATCTAATCGAGTAAAAAAATGAATCACAACGATAGAGTTTATCTTTACACAATCACATAAATGTACGTGGCTACAATCTACAGAAACACCGAACCATGACACATGCTGTGTATATTTCCGGTTAACGTGTAACGTAATAATATTATCAGTAAATAGTCATACGTTATTGTAAGAAATTGTTTTCACTTTAATCTACCCGTCCCTTATAATACATTACTACTTTTTGACATTACGATGTAACGTATAACGATTACGCGGCGCATAGAGCAGACATCCTGTTGCAAAATTTCGAAGGTCCTTACCTATCTGATCTTCACGCTGAAACCTGTGCAAGCGATGCCTTGCCTTGAGCTCGAGCTCCGAGCCAGGAAGCCGTCGATGCGTAAAGTCCAAGAGCCTGGTGAGCAGGGGGTGATTCGGCGGCGACTTCCAATCGCCGGGATACGCGTCCAGCCATACGTGAAGCGCTTGCACCAATGTCTTTCGGTGCTGCTCACCTGTCAGGGCGCCACCGGAAGTCTCGTCGAGAGCATCGTACCTCGCTAACAATAACTCCAGCACCTCCCGCGGCGTCGTGAACGCGCGATACGTTGCCAAGAAGACGTTTATGTACGTCGACTCGAGCTCCCCGTCGTCGTTCGCCAGACTCTCTACCAACCGCTGCACCGTGCCCGCCTTCAAGAAACGAACTCGCACCGTCTCCCATTCCAAATGCGAAATTTCGTCGTCCGAATCCTACCGGATCGTGCATTAGAATTAATAAGTTTGCCAGAATTTAAGAATCCTGTTTTATGCATTAGTCTGATATTTGAAATTTCTTATTACTTACCGACGCAGAGAGGCTTCTGGTAGGCCTGTGGTAGCGGACCTTCTTCAGGTACACCGTGTATATGACGCCGTCGCCCCTTTCCTCGCCCCATAAACGCCACGTGGGCTGTAAAATAAAAGCAGACGGTAAAAGTTAAACGCAAAAAGAGATACGTCTGAGACACCAGGGAATCAGTAAATATCATGCGTCAGGCAGGCGTTCAGAATACCGTGCAATCTCAAACAGGGAGTACACTTTATACGACAAATAAATAAGCTGCGTTTGCGCTTCACTTCCGGATACCATCCGCGGTCCGTAACGTCTAAAATCTAACATGATCGCGGAACGATAAACATGGATCGCTACGAAGATCCTTATCCCTGTGCCACCACCTAAACCACGACTTACGGTAAACCCGACACGATTTTAGATTCTTAATTGCTGTTCCAGAAAGATTAATTACCACGTGAGGCTTGCCTTGTTAAGTAATTTACCTTATGCTACCTAGCTACCCATAAATACAGCACAGAAATCCAGAGTGATTTATAAATTATTTATCGGCAAAAACGTTCACTTCACGGAGATCGCATTTCTGTTGCACAGAACAAATTTATGATCAGCATTTCAACATGTTCACAAGGTGCAGAGTTTTAATTCGAATGCGAAAGATGTAAGAAAAATTGGCATACATTAAAAATCATCTGATTCATAAAAAATACACTTACGTAAATGGCTTTAATTTATATTCGTAAATCTGCGTACGCACGATGCAATTCCAAGGCAGCCAAATTTCCAATCCATACCCAATCCAACTATTTGATCCGCGAAGCATTCAAACTTTTTAAATCGTCCTGACCAACCTCAAGAATCTCACTAACTCGAAAGCTATTTCAAATACGAGACTCGCGAGAATTTCGAGCATTCGCAGAATCAATACATGAATAAGCCAATTTCCCCTCATCGATGCCCAGTTAATTTTTCCAAATCGACGAAACGAAAGTCGTGTGCGATTAAATTTAAACCGCAGGGGAGTCCGAAACGAGTACTGAAATCTTGATGAAAAGTGTATACCATTAGTTCTTCGGAAACTTGTCCGAGGGGACAAATTGTGGGTTGTGGGACTTTGAAAGGCGCAGGGAGACCACTAAAAATAGGATTCTCGTTCTACGAGATTCGCTGGTTTATTTGGAACGCTAAACGCATCTGCCAAAGTTATCCACTCTCTCCAGCGTGTGACTTACCTGCTGGAGGCCAACAAGAGAGTCCTAATAATGTATCTGACAAAAATATACATGTGCCTCTGAAGGAAATGAAAATATCAGTAACTCACGTATTGGAATATTTTCGCTGAAACCAAATTTCTCTCTTTGTTTCTTTTTCTTGGTATGTACGTATAAATTGTGGCTACATACAATACGTATCGCTACAGATTCGAAGCGTAGAAAAACAAACCGTGTCATTGCCATTCGCTCGCCGCTTCTATCTCTAATGTGCAACATTTACTGCCTTCACCGATAGAAAGACGGGACGGCGGCGTGCGGCGTATACCTAAGTATTTACATGTCATGTGCACACTGCACATAATGCTGAACGAGACGATCGATGAGACCGCGAAAAGAAAGCTGTTCTTGTTCTTGCACGGAAAATGAAAGTACGGTTCAACTGCTATCTATCGATTGCTAATTGCGCAGGCGAGTTCCGGTTACCGTAACCATTCAATTTCTATCCACGTCGTGAAATAAAAAATTATGCTTTTACTTAAGCCATTTCTTCGATCAATTGCAACGAGCAGTTTAAGAAAACAACGTTTGTAAGTTTTATAAAAAAATACCCGAAACCAGTTAGGTAGTACAGTTAGAAACGCGGCGATTCCTATGCCAATGGCGAGAATAATAGCGTAAAAAGAGGTAGAACTCGGTGTGGCATCGAAAGAAAATACCGGAGCGACTGCGTTTCTCGATGATGACGAGTAAGTACTGTTGTGGAGTCTAGTCGGAGCAGCAGTAAAATTGCTCGGTGGAAAAAAGCGGCTTACGCTCCGGAACGAACCGGCAATTAGAGGCCTACTGAAAGAACCCGAGCGTGACTTAAGGTCCTTATGCCTTCTGCCTTATATTCATCCATACGCTCCTCATCAGTGGACGAGGCTCCTTGGAACACGTCAACTATCCATTGTTCCACGGAGAACTGTATGTATATTCCTCACGCCTGGTCAGAATCGCTTGTCCACTCTGTACGACGACTATACAACTTTAGGTTCTATATATCAAGATCCTAATTCGATTTTCCCCTTAGATTCCCTTAACTCCTTACGCAAAGGTTTCCATCGGAAGGAACGAGACGCGACGTTCAGTCTTGTCAAATGGCAAAGTGAATTGTCATATGGTAAGACGGTAAGAAAACCAAACGCGACGTGTGTATAAACTGATATCTAGTCTATTATTCCACGTCGACCTATAAAAAGCTTACCATCGGATTATCAGAAGAGGAGAAGAGATACGAAGTACGATCGATAAACATGGAAATCCGACCGACTACATCGCAACTGGTGGAATCGGCGTAAACATATTATCACTGTTAAAGTCACGATTCCGTGAGCTAGTTAAGGTGGAATAACGTGTTCCAACCGTGAACCCGAATAAGCAGGGTCACCGTGCCATGTGCAGAGTATTGGCAATGAAAGCGCGGGTCGATCTGCCTAATTCGATGAAACGTTTAACTACTACGGCTACAATCGATCCGATTCTAAGAACTAATTTCCTGACTAACGTTTTGAAAGATTGAACGATTTTAATTTTTAATTTCACCACTTCTTAGAATCGATGTCTCTTCGTTCCGGAATAACCTGTCGATAATCGTAGCCTTGTACACGTAAAGTGTTTCATCTAACAATTAGAGATCGATACCAAAGAATAGACTGAGATTTCAGAGAGGAACGATTTCTTTTGTCATAGTGTCAGGTTCGAAAAAGGCTCCAAGGATAATAACCGCGATCAAAGCGAAAGGAAGAAAGGCGAACGAGAAGAACTCGTGGTCGCGTGGGTAATAGTATGTACTATGTACGTACCAAGACATGGCCGGAAGTTCAAAGAACGAGCTCTGATAAAGCCAGAGCTTTGTCGATGCCTAAATGCCCATTACAAAAGCCACTCACCCTATAGACTATAGACCCTCTCTTCAGCGTTTACAGTCAGTGTCGCAAGTACACATGTCGAACCACCTCGTGCAATGTATTTAGCCAACATGCAAACATGCTAACGCTGCCAAAGCTTCTATCCAAAGAAAAGTCCGGATTCCCAGATCATCGAATTTAAATGTCAGGGAACACCTCATTGTAAACAAATCGAAAGTGTAACACGTGTCCGGCGAACAAAGAAATTTTGTTAGGGAGAACCTCATCTATCAGAAGAGCCAGCGTGGCGCCCGTTTCCGGTCAGGCAACGCACATAATTATGTATGTATGTATGTATGTATGTATGTATATAGTTGCATATACGTAACAATGGATACGTAAGGTACGCAAAGTACCTTAGATTTCAGATAAGCAATTAAACGAACCGCTGGCACAAGAAGTCGCGGTGACTCACGCTGTTAAATAAGGTGACGATGGCGAAGCACCTTCGAGGTTCGCTATCTCATACATGTTACCAATATTCCTATTTATCTATATGTATCTATGTATGTATATGATTTCAAAGTAACGTCAAGAATATATACCCATAATTGATGCGACTGTGAAGGAATGAAGTGTAGCATTCAAAGAAAAATCCAAGCGGAACTGAGCCTCGTGATCTATTCGCGCATATTTATGTATTCATAATTTGCGTCTATTCGCGCGTCGTCCATGAGTCAACGCGATGATAAGAAAAAAGTAGAACCAAGCGAAGATATCGACATTTTCCTGTCCTACATGTCCAGGCAGAACCGAAATTAAAATTTTAGTGAAGAAAACGATGCACTTCACGGTTTAACACATGTCTGTGACGTGTGAAATAATTACATACAAAAATAATTACGTATTGACGCAAGAGCGGCAGAACACTGTCGTTCATTAAACCGGTTTCGATCAAAAATCGACGAACGTTTGACGCAAAACTGCGTGTCATCGCGACAAGAGGAACGTGAACAAGATTATGCACCGTATCACGAACCGAAAGGCGTCACATTTCAAAATACGTACATTGAAATTACTTGTAGAACAGCAATTAAGAGAATCAATAACTCGTTTTGCTCATTCTGAGCATCATCAATTAGACTACGAATGTTTATGAATTTGTGATAAGAAAACTGGACACTGTATGCGGTACGCATACTGTGACATTTAATTAATAAGAATAAACCATATTTAAATTTTGTTCTCTATAGCAGTACACTAAATATTTTATTTTGCATGAAAGTTCGCCGTCAAATCATTATATCAATTTTCGTCTAACGAGTAATTATTCACTTTAGACTTGAGTAGAGCGAGAATTTTATTGGGTCAATATAACCGTAGCTCATTGTCAGCATTTATTTGGCCGCGTCTCCCCTGTGCGCAGTACACACAATCATTAATGACAACGATACAGTTCCGATGACACTCTGACCCTGATTATCCGATTAAAACCGCTACCACGTGTGCGACACGACCAACGCGCAGCTACGTTACTATTCGGACGTTTAAGTGAATCATACTTGTTCGCGTGAAATCGAATTCTTTCGAGCCTACTCAATTTCAAAGAGTGTACTTGATTCACGGTAGGTACACAACTCTCGCTGTTTTTGTTTGCTGACTGCGTTCAGTGAGAAGAATGTTTGCACGAAATTGTTTTCCGAGGGAATCGAAAATAGATGCAGTAGTATTGGCCTCAGCAAAAAAGATTGATATGGCCAATAAAGAAATTCGATAACCAGAACGATTGAAAGTAATGGAAATGTTTTCGACCAAGAGCATAAAAATACATGATTAATCGACAAATAATTGAAAGCTGGCGATGGAATTGTTTTCCTATTTAATCCTGACTGACTTTTACTTCAACAGTTATTCTAACGTTAACACTGGAGGTTCGCCTGACGTTGATACTTTCTCTATCCATATCTTACTTTAATGCAACACAATGAGTTTCGACTATGTACGATTTACGGTTCTCTACCAGACCCATTGTTCCATTCTTGATATTCTCATCTTCAATATGGAATCCTTTAATTAATTTACTCCAAAACTGCATTATCATTTAATTCCCATTGCGAAAATTATGTAATACTTATCATAATAATAAAACGCACTCGTACCTCGTACACGATGCACTCCTCTCGTTCCCATGCACGAGAAGACAATACTATGATTACGATTACGATAATAGAATAAACGCTTAGGCATGCACGCTACATCTACACGTACACATACATATATATAATAGCAGTGATAGTGATATACGTTTGCGGACCAATCAGAGAATAAACAAATTCTACGAAAGCAATTTGCACCGATAACCTATCGGTGTATCACAATCATATTATATTATAGATTGCGCTTTTTAAACCGGAGATTCCGAGTAACTTCGAATATATGCGCATATTTATGCTTGTTCTATGGGAAATATGAAATATTCGCGGACGTACTATCAACGAATATCAACATATGTATCAGCTATACATACAGCATCTACATACGTATAATCTTATTTAGTACTTGCAAGGAAGGTATCCTAGGTATCCCACGTCGATTTAGATATTTTCTCGCCGATAAAGAAATATGTATCTTATTTTTTTAGTACAGTATGACATATTCATCAAAACGAATTAAATTAGACTTCCAGCACACCTTTCTTGTTCGAATCGAATTGTGGATGACCGAATTTTTTCAGGGTTTAACAATAAAAGGCGATAGCGTATTTAAGCCGAGGGAATCCCTCGGGAGGAATCGTTTTGGGAAGACTTTCACGCGATTTATCCGGATTTATCGTCTAATTTACTCAAGACCGAAACAATCGTATTATGCTTTTACCGAGGAAAACGATCAAGCGTCGAGTCCCGACTCCGACGCTTTCTACGCCAAGTCAGGTTTCCAACCCCAGGTTCGACGCCTAATAATAAATATTACTGTGCATGCACATGTAAGTACTCGCTCGGTACTGTGATCGAAGTAAAAGTAAGGTTTCATCGAATGAGATAGACATTTAGCTTTCTTTCAACAAAAACGAAAGTTTCTGATTTTTTTCTCACATGTGCAAAATTTATTATTAATTTTCCTGAAACTAGTTGTTGAAATCAAGACACCTAATTTTAATTTAATTGCAATCATAAGTCATACACCGGTATCGATCGCATGTGTAAACGTCGAACGATCTCGTTATGTACATCTACTCCAAATATTTAGCTATCTATACATATTATCATGTGTTTACGTAGAGTAGATCAATTGCAAATAACTGTCTCGTAATAATCAAACACGGGTCATACATGTTTAGAAACGAATTATTACGCGATACAATAAATCTTGAGGTCTAGCAAGTACTTGCACATGTCTTCGTGTGTACTCAGAAAGTCACGTAACGACGTAGGAACCCCCGGTTGAAAACAGATCTGTTTTACGCTTAAATCACGCAATACGAGCAAGGGGAGAATAAGTACAAAACAAGGAAATGGAAACAGGCAAGAGCAATAAAAAGAAATGTCGAAGGACAATCAAATTGAAGAGAGAGCGACACAAAAAAAAAAAAAAATACGAAAACAGAAAGAGAAGGGAAAAAACAGCAACGAAGAAGACAAACGAACCGACAACGACAATGACAATAAAGAGCGAATGTTGTGTGCGTTCTTTTTACCTGCTGCACGTACCACTGCGTGGAATTCTGGTTCTTCCTGTGGCTGGTGGGCTTGCAGGGGGCGCAGAGCAGCAGGGGCGCCAGTTTGTTCACCCCCTTGAGACTGGCCGACGCCGCGGCCGGGGGCGACGTTGGGCTCAGCCCGTCATCCCCCAACACGGGCCACAGCATCCACGTGTGGATGTCAGCGGAACTTCCCCTTCTTCGCTCGGCGCTTCGATTTCGATTCTGCCTGTGCAAGCGTGCAGTTCGTCTCGTGATTCATTTGACCTGACTCTCTGTCCATCCAAGCACTGACAATCAGACGCGATGCTCTCGTTTTTAACACGACGATCCGTTCTTTAAAATTTTTCCTAAGCTTCGCAAGTCGCACTTTCATTGCAAATTCTAAACGTTTATAGAGTGTGCAATTTCATCAATCTGAATCACTTGAGATTTTCTTTGATACGACGAAAGCGAGCAATCTGAAGGCTTATAGAAGTCTCCAGTGAATTCGCCAATAGAATTCACAAGCCTTTTCCATCTCCGACGTCGACGATCAATCGCGATTCGCGATCAGTCAACGTTCTCGATGAGCAACTGAATTCAAGGATTATCGCCGATTCGAATCAGAGATTTCAATTCCTATTAGCATGGCAGCAGAGGCCAAGTACGTATTATGTGCGTCAATAGCGACGCAGCAAGAACGTATGCATCGTTCGATGCATCATCATTAAAATAGAATCAAATTAAAAGTGCGACTTCCGATCATCGATGATGATTACAATAAAATCTTTCATCCAATCGAACCGTTTTAGACTGCGTTTCGTTTTCGAGCTGCTCCGTTATCACAATTCTTATTATTGACGAAGAGGTCAATGTAAAGTTCAAGGCAAAATTTCCTATACTTGTATTTTTCAAGCCCCAGAGTTTATCGAATCCTGTATATATTTTGGAATCTATATTTCTATTTAAAGCAAGTTCCCTCGCGACTATTACACGTACTTGTAAAACTCTAAATTCGTTAAACAGTAGCCTATGACCACTTTATTATCCTTTATTCTTAAATAGTAAAAAATTAAAAGCAAACGAAGCAGTAGTTTTACTCAAGTTGAAGGTAAAGTTAAAGTTAACAAGGATGTCGCTGGCATGTAGGCGGAATTGAGCTTCCGACCATTAGCCGATTTTCCAAACGTCCGCCCACACAATCCCGTGGCTTTTCACATTTCGAAGCACGCCATGTCGCCCACGAATAATTGAAATCTACCTTCCAGAAATATTCTATGGAAATGTCTGTTTGTCTGCCGCTACGTCTATTTAATTGATATCGACGTGTAAAAACGAAAAAACCGATTTCCAAATAAAATCCTATAGATAGATAAAAATGTCGTTGCCCGTCGACGCCTCGTTTCGATAAAACTCACGCCCCGACACCGCTTGTTACGAGTTACGGAAAATTCACACGTTTCATGTGTCACAAACTTAATCCTTCCATTGTGTATCGATTTAAATTGACCAGTTCGTCACCCGATAATGCTTTATCCGAACCATTACGTATTTCTGACAAGAAAGATTTCGTTCACAACTTGGTAACATAAGTTTTCTGCGTTTAAAGATAATTAAGAGCAAACTATAAAGTTTTTGTTTGAACAAATGTCACGCGTACGCCACTTTAGCTCCGTTTCTGTAAGCGAACACGGAGAGCACTAGCTCTACTTCGTAACTCCGTAGCAGGCAGGAAGCGTGCTTTAGCGTTAGCTGCAGTGCGTTTCATACGAGCATGAATCATTTGGCGGCTCGGCTCGAATGACTCGGTTGTTACGTTATTTTCTTATTTAACGCGCGCGCGGGATAATGCGTGCCTCACGAACCATTCGAGAAACTCGAGTCGTGCACTACAAATATGTATTTATACAAGAATGCGTGCCTATTCCGATAATTTACAACAGATATAACTGTACTTAATTCTTATAAAAACTATATATATTCACGATGGATAATTATGATCAAACGAGAGACGAGGAAGAGACGACGGTCCGCTAAAAAGACCGGATTCCACGATTACATTTGCATATTCGATCCGGTCGAAAATATGTCAGCTTACGTCTGCTATTTTTTATTAAACGAAGAATAAGATAGAGAGGATGATAAGGTCCTCTTTCGAGTCCATTTTTACCGCTTTTCGACATAATAATTAATTATTAACGACTACTCTTTATCGTTCCTGAATTCATGCCAAATTAGCGATAAATACGAAGTGTCAGTTGAAATAAAATTTATTCTATTTCGAGGAGAATATAAAAGAGGGTAAGTTTTACTTGAAACATTTTTAGAAACGAGATTAAGAAATAATTAGAATCGGAACTTGAAATGGAACGTCCAGTATGCACGTATACGAGTCTAACGTAACAGAACGAGCTCTAATCCGAAACAGCAAGAATTTCGAGCACGTAATCGTCTATTTTTATACGTTACGGGTATGCACGATCCCCGTGTTCGATTTTTGATCAGACGCGACGGGATACAATTAAAAGAGCAGATTAAAGAAAGGAAGGTGGCCGCGTAACACGCGGGTTAGTCATACACGTGGAACCTATGCACCTACTTTGCTGGGCGTGGGACTGTTTGCGTGCGATGCACAAGCGTTCGATTTTCAAAGAACTGACAAACCTACGCGCTAGCAGATACACACGCGGAGGGAATGTGCACGTGTGCTCGGACCCTCACGTCGTTCGCCCATTTGCTCCGATAACAGTTTATCTAGGTATCACCGAGCCGAGTATGAAAAGGATGCCTGTGCTAAGTAACTCGTAGATCGAATTATGTTTGATACCAAAGTGGATCCTTAAAAACGCAAAATCTATGAAATACAATTGCAAGTACATCACGCTTTGTTCTTATTTATCGATATCTTTTTATCAATTGATAATAATAAGATATTGGCTCGATTAATGTCAGACAGAAACAGACATACAAATCTAATTGAAAGGCGCCAAAGCTCGTGGAAATAAATTGAACGACTGGTAGAACAAGTCCACGTGACTTTCGTGATATGAAAACATTTCCGCGATGAAGTAATGTCATTGAAACGAGTATTCCCGCGTATTATTCCTTGGTCTACAGATCACAAATACGAATAAACATGTATTTACGTAGCATAATCAAATAGAACATTGCGTGTACTACGAATTCCATAACTTTTCACGATACGGTTCCCAGTCGTGCCACCGGGGAAAACCTACGTCAAGCCTAATGACAGTAAATTCTAGAGAAATATCGATCAATCAAGCAGTGGTAACGGAGATATGTCAGACCATCGCGATGACTGATGTATCAAAAAAACGGAACTGTTCTAGCGGGACATAGTTACGTCGTTCACGGTCGCGGCCTTGCGAACCACTATTATTCCATTTATTAATTGTACTCGATCCGCAACGTTTCAAAAATAGAAATTTACGATCACGGAGCAGCTCGATCGTCGCGGACACGATCATTGTACAGTCTCACTCTTAGGACAGTCAAGATTGAAAAGAGGTTCAACTCAATTGCTACAAGATTGTATTACGCCAACTTAAAACCACTCGTAAATCTTAATTGAGCTCCTAATTCGACCAAAATTCGTTTATCACTCACCGGTGTTTCTTCCTCCTGAACGAGACGGTATGATCGAACAAAGAAAACGAAGGCACTGGACGTGGTCCAAAGAACCCGAAGAAAACACGACTCGGATCCCGGCTAGGTAGGCAGTATACCTACCTCAACACCTGCCCTCGTACCTTTCTCTCATCCCAATACACGCGCGTATAATACGTACACACAAACACGTGCGAGCGGCACGCGAGAGCAAGAACGTTGGTCGCCGAAAACGAAAAGCCAGATGACGGCTGGCGAACGGTGCGCAGGTGGTCGTCGAAGGAGACCGAACAGGATAGGAACCGAGTCACGCGACCATGCTACATCAACAACGGACGTACCGACACTGCGAACCACTCGGTTCGCCGTCCCGTCAACGACTAACTCCAGCCGCGGCATCCAGCGTCCGGCTCTGGGGCCAGCGAACGCGCAATTCAACCCGAATCCGCTCCATGCGGCTGACAATCAACGCAATCGTACTCCTACCGACCAGTGACCATCAACAATAAATAAGATATTAGCCACCACTGACAGACGCTTATATCATATCAGGTTTATCAGCCAGTCACATTACGTGTATGAATATACTTATCTGTGTATGCACCTTGTCTCGGATTTAAATCTTTATTAGTCATGAATTCTAAGCATATTGTCTTGTTTATGTAAAATTATATTTAATAAATACGTATAATTTCCTGGATTTTTCTTATGTCCATACGTACAATAAATGCCTACTTATAGAATTTAATTGAAGAGCTAATGAATTTTTTATATTATAATATATAGCGTCCTTAATTTTTTGTCCCAGTGCATACACGAGTATAAAGTACTTGTCAATTACAAGAATGATACTTATGTCACGGCACAGGCTACGGGTAAAGTCGAGGATTGATATTACCATCGGGAGAACCTGCAGTTCGCAATCGATAAATTCGATTTTCTCGCGACTATTTTTCATTATTCATTCATGTCGTCGCGTTTCATTTCGGTCACGCTTTCTACACAAATCCTGGAAACCTGACACTTTCTTATGAGATCACGCGTAATCAGAATCTTATCGAAATAGAATGTCAGTAAAATATTCTTGCTATAGAATGATTTAGGGGATGTTTCACGCTAAGATATCAAATTCCTATAACTCAGACTACTCCAGACATTGAATTAAAAAATTAAATCAACGACTGATCAAAAGATTGTCCTTATCTTAAAATAAGTTTAATAAAAACAAGCAGCTTTGAAGATTTTAGATAATTTAATAGATAGGAGAGATACTTGCAAACTGAAATCGTTTTGTTCAAATGGCGAACGTAGACACATTCACTTTGCGAAAGTTCCCTCGAGCGTAGCTTCGCTACTTCAACATCAAGACGTTTATTTGTCTCCTTCGCTACTATGATCCCCATAGATGTGGAGAGATGGGACGTAATCTCATTCCTCGCGTAAAGCAGCCTGAGTCATCAAATTCACCCTGTGCTATGCTCGAGGGTACTAGCATGACGAGAAGCTGAGGGTAGCTGACAATGAGTACAGTGTGTACACATACTCATAGCCATATCCATATGTCCACCCTCGCCCTGAGAATATAGACAGAGACTGAGATCTCTCAGTTTTATACGATGTTATGAACGATTCTGTAAACAAATCACTATTTTTTAAAAAAGAGCCACGTTTGTCTCAAGGAAAATACGCCTTTTAAATATAAAAGAATAAAACACGAATTTCATCTTGTCTAAATTAATGCAAACGTACGTCTAAGAAAAAACACTGATTTATTGAGCTATGGAAATGGAAGTACTTGGATTGGAAACTTTAAATTCGCTTCGCAGACTTGAAGGTAGGGTGAGAAATTCTCGAGAATCGATCTGTTCTCTTAACTCGAAGAGACCCACGCCGAGCACAAAAGGATCTGAAAGCCACCCCATAGTCTGGCGCCCAGACTACGAGCACTACAATTACAATGTCGAGTCCTGGCGGGGGTCTCGACGCGGTATGTACGTACGTACGAACCACGAACTTGAACAGGCCGCGAGCACGTGGATCGATAAGCAATTGTAGCCTGTCGTGGCCAGTATATTCGCCTATCCCACCCGTTATCGGCTATAGCTCGAGACGTGATAAATGTTGCCCGTGACGTCGCGGGTGTGATGCAACCAACCGAACTACGTCATCGTGTTGCAACTCGATACACGTACGTAATCGCTAGCGGCTGCACTGAATTGTGATATCAAAACATGAATACAAAAATATGAATGAAAATAAATCTACAGCGTCATGTGTAGATACAATCACGACATCGCTACGTGCGTATGCAAAAATATAAAAACCTAATCCAAATAGGAACTACAATTATTATTTTATAACAAATCTCAGCATTAAGGATAGATACTGTTATCTAATTTTGTTATCTTTTCCAGCAATTATATGTATATCAAATTGCATCGTATAAACTCAATAGTACAAGTATCATACTAATTAATAATATTATATCTAACAAAATTCCAATGCGTTCATTATGAATCTTACTGGTACCGAATTTCTTCGTTTTCAATTTGATTTATAATAATGAACGATAAAAGTATTATAGATAATTTTCTATCAAAATATTTTAGAAATAAGATGGTGTTTCATACGCATCAGTTTACTTTAATGTTTCTTCCCTGTTACCATTTTCGTAAGAGTACTCTTTTTAAAATGTTTTTTGCTGAAGGCTCGCCAACTCCGGGGATGGCAAGGAGTCGTGAAATTCCCGTTTTCGCGGATTTCGCGGTGCGTTTGCGACGCGTCGCGATCATGAGTACGTGACTCTGTACATTCCTCTCCACGGTTTCGTTTCGTTTCGTTCGGTCTCGTCTCGTCCCGTTTCTGTACCTTACGTACATAGCCAACCCAGCGTAGCTGCGGTGTGGCAATTCACCGTACAGTAAATCTTGTTAACGTTAACCCGCGCGAGTACTCCAGCAAACCACTCGCGTCAGTCTGCACACGAGAACCTGGTCCAGGACATAAAATCGATATCAGGTTCCTAGTGGGCCTCGAATCGCAATCGGTGAGAAACGCACACTGTACCAATTCGAAGGTACACTCGTTTTTATTCTGTTTCATTGGAGGACTTCACCCCCAGCGCTCATTAATTAAACACGAGATTAAACGAAGCAGAAATCGTTTAGATGATTAAAAAAATTTGATTCTACTTTTCGTTCATAATTAAGTCGAGCTCGAATTTGTTTCATATTTTATTTACCGTCATTGTTGCTAGCTGAGAATAAACGAAGGGTGCGACTTGGGTGATGAATTAAGGGAGGATGACACGACGAAATTTAAGTCACGCGGCCGAATTGCACCACAGGCAGAACCTTGAGCCTTGCATAGCGTAGGTGTGTTTGAAGTTGAGTCACAAAGATGCGTGCGTGTCCCACGCACGACCCACAATTCACGAGCTACGTTTTAACGACGATCGGCTCGATAACAGAATGCCGAAACAGCTATCGACGAGCGGCAACTAGTTAAGACTGGTTGAAGAGTTTCGTGATCGATTCGTGTACATGTGTAATTACGTACATGCATGTATATAAACGTGTCTGGACATCGTGATTCCTCGCGGAAACGATATTGCGATCAAGGTCGAATCTGTCGAAACAGTTAGCCGGATCAAGTTGGACAAGCCTTCTAGCAGTAAAGTAAGTACTCTTTTTAAAATGTTTTTTGCTGAAGGCTCGCCAACTCCGGGGATGGCAAGGAGTCGTGAAATTCCCGTTTTCGCGGATTTCGCGGTGCGTTTGCGACGCGTCGCGATCATGAGTACGTGACTCTGTACATTCCTCTCCACGGTTTCGTTTCGTTTCGTTCGGTCTCGTCTCGTCCCGTTTCTGTACCTTACGTACATAGCCAACCCAGCGTAGCTGCGGTGTGGCAATTCACCGTACAGTAAATCTTGTTAACGTTAACCCGCGCGAGTACTCCAGCAAACCACTCGCGTCAGTCTGCACACGAGAACCTGGTCCAGGACATAAAATCGATATCAGGTTCCTAGTGGGCCTCGAATCGCAATCGGTGAGAAACGCACACTGTACCAATTCGAAGGTACACTCGTTTTTATTCTGTTTCATTGGAGGACTTCACCCCCAGCGCTCATTAATTAAACACGAGATTAAACGAAGCAGAAATCGTTTAGATGATTAAAAAAATTTGATTCTACTTTTCGTTCATAATTAAGTCGAGCTCGAATTTGTTTCATATTTTATTTACCGTCATTGTTGCTAGCTGAGAATAAACGAAGGGTGCGACTTGGGTGATGAATTAAGGGAGGATGACACGACGAAATTTAAGTCACGCGGCCGAATTGCACCACAGGCAGAACCTTGAGCCTTGCATAGCGTAGGTGTGTTTGAAGTTGAGTCACAAAGATGCGTGCGTGTCCCACGCACGACCCACAATTCACGAGCTACGTTTTAACGACGATCGGCTCGATAACAGAATGCCGAAACAGCTATCGACGAGCGGCAACTAGTTAAGACTGGTTGAAGAGTTTCGTGATCGATTCGTGTACATGTGTAATTACGTACATGCATGTATATAAACGTGTCTGGACATCGTGATTCCTCGCGGAAACGATATTGCGATCAAGGTCGAATCTGTCGAAACAGTTAGCCGGATCAAGTTGGACAAGCCTTCTAGCAGTAAAGTAGGATGTTCAATGTTTGCAGTTTATCAACAAGAAAATACTGGTATCGTGTTCTATCAACACATTGATATAGAAGAATTGCAAGGGAACCGTAGAAAAAAAATGTGGAGAGTGATAAGGCTTAGTTGGATGTTGTAATTGTTAATCGAGTTTTCCATTAAAATGATGTTGCAAGTGAGTGCAAAGGAGAAAATCACGGAATAGATGATAGAAAATGAGTAACATGTGAGTAAGATGGTATTATACCATCGTCTCCGCTCTAATTCTTCATTACGCACTTCGCACGAATCACGAATCGATCTCACGAGCGTGGTTCAATCGTGAGAAAGGCGGATATCCCATTCAGAATTCAGTACGAATTTCTTTTTTCTCTTCCTTTCCATCGCTTTCCTTTCCTTCTCTCCCACACCGCGCTCTTCGAATTCAAACAGAACCGTGAAAGCACACGAGGAAATACTACTAACAAGTGGCCCTGCCCGTGTGATCATTCGGATAGCGAATAGGACCCAACGGGGCTCAAAATACAGACGGTAATCGTTCTTTTCGGTCGTAATCGGTACCGAGGAAGTCGGAAATGGCTTTGATGCTAGTGAAAAATGTTCCACATGAAACTTTTAGCTTTTGACAGTATCTACAACTTTTGTTTGAAACATTTTTCGCTAGCGGCAACAAATAATCAGTTTTTGGTCATATACCTCAGGAGTAGTCGATTAAGGATGTATTGGCTATACAGTCAATCCCAAAAGTTTATGCACTTTAGAAATGCATTTTTTAAAAAGAAATCAG